TTACTTGATATTAATATAGCCACTCCTGATTTTTAAAAAAATTAATGCTTCCATGATATATCTTTATTCATCTTTCTACCTTCAACCTGCCTATTACAGTTATATTTGAAGTGAGTCTCTTGTGGGACAATACGTGATTGGATCATTTTATTAATCAACTCTGCCAATCTCTTTTAATTTTTATACCATTTAAATTACATTAACTGATGAAATGTTAGGGCTTAAATCTGACATTTGGTCATTTGTTTTCTTTTTTTTTTTAATATATCTCTTTATATAGGTTTTTTTGGGGTTTTTTTAGTGGTTGCTCTACATATTTCAGTGTACATACATAACTTGTTATTTTCAACATGTTATCATCATTTTACTGTTGTCTTAGATCAGTGCTTCTCTATATGGTTCAAGGCCCCTCCCCAAACCAACAAATTCAGAATCTTTTATTGGGTGGGATTCTAATGTGCAGCCAGGCTGGAATTTCACTGCCTGGGTGCTCTCTGAGACTCCTTCCAGGAAAGATAAATTAGGCATGTGTAGATTCTCAGAGAGCCTGGAAACATGTCCAAGTCTGAAACCTCATTATAGTTCCAAGACTAGAAGTCACTTAGTACACTAAAGGACCATCCTTATGGCAGAAAGCAAACGAGAACTAAAGAGCCTCTTGATGAAAGTGAAAGAAGAGAGTGAATAAGTAGGCTTAAAACTCAACATTCAGAAAACTAAGATCACGGCATCCGGTTCCATCACTTCATGGCAAATAGATTGGGAAACAATGGAAACAGTGGGGGACTTTAATTTTGGGGGCTCCAAAATCACTGCAGATAGTGAGTGCAGCCATGAAATTAAAAGATGCTTGCTCCTAAGAAGAAAAGTTATGACCAACCTAGACAGCTTTTTAAAAAGCAGAGACATCACTCAGCCAACAAAGGTCAATCTAGTCGAAACTATGGTTTATCCAGTAGTCATACATGGCTGTGAGAGTGGGACCATGAAGAAAGCTGAGTGTCAAAGAACTGATGCTTTTGAACTATGGTGTTGGAGAAGATTCTTGAGAGCCCCTTGGACTGCAAGGAGATCAAACCAGTCAATCCTAAAGTAAATCAGTCCTGAATATTCATTGGAAGGATTGATGCTGAAGCTGAAACTCCTATACTTTGGCCACCTGATGTGAAGAACTGACTCTTTGGGAAAGACCCTGATGCTGGGAAAGATTGAAGGCAGGAGACGAAAGGGACGACAGAGGATGAGCTGGTTGGATGGCATCACCGACTCGGTGGACATGAGTTTGAGCAAGCCCTGGGAGTTGGTGATGGACAGGGAAGCCTGGCGTGCTGCAGTCCATGGGGTCGCAAAGAGTCGGACATGACTGAGTGACCGGACTGGACACTGAAGCAAACTTGCAGATGAAGTTAGGAAGAACAAGACAGACACCTGTCCTCTCACCAAGGAGGGCTCTGCTCTTAGCCTGTGCTCAGTTCCTCTAAAAGTCAGTGCTCCCAATTGTTCTGGAGCCTGGCCATTCACAAAACACCTGAGTCACTGAGTGAGCATCACGAGATAAAGGCTCGGGACCCTTTGCCACCAGGCTTGGGGCCAGATCCCAGCCAAAGAACCAGCCTTTTATCATCTCCTTTACAGATGGTCGTTGGACACCTATTGTTCACTTCCATCCCCATTGGTCACTTCCTTCCCCAGGCAGACATCACTAATAGATCACAGCACCCTTTCCTGCTGACCCCTGCAGTGGCTCTGTACCTTTCAGCAGCCTCCACTAAACAAATATGGTAAAACCTGTGTTTAATCCCTAACCAGCTTATGGGCACCTTGAACTCTCTTAATCCACTTTATATCATATTCATTCTTCACCTTCCACTGCCTGGAATCAAAGTTAGCTTGGAACACACTTATCAAACAGCTCATTTTATTTATAGATCTAGCTTTCAGACTTCATTGGTTAACTAATTCGTCCTGGTCAGAATCACTGTCCACTCGTGCATTCTCACGTCACATGGTTATGTATCCTTTATTCAGGGGCTGAGCAGCAGGTGAGACTTGGAAACATTTTAAGGGAAAAGTGAAGGGTAAAGCCACTGAGGGAAGCACTGTGGGGGATACACCTGGAGTGGAGGCTGGCTCCACCACTTCTTAGCTTTGGCACTTTGGGCAGGTCACTTAATCACACCAAGTTTCAGTTTTTCTATCTGTGAAATGGGGACAAGGAGAGCTATGCAGGACTCTTCTAAGTCAGAGCTCAGTGGTTTGATTCCAAAATATTTAATGAGCACCTACTATGTGCAAGGCATTCTATGAGGTACTGGAGATGTCAAAATGAATAAGACATCCATGCCAACAACCTAGCAAATAGACCTCTTACTCTATGCTGTAGAGAATGTCCCCAAAATGTCATCTGTATCAACTCCTTCATAACATGCTGGCTGTTGCTATCATCCCCACCCTACAGATGAGAAGACTGAGCCACAGGCTGACTAGGGGACTTGCCCAAGACATCACAGCTAGAAGAGGTGAAGATGGAGTTCAGCCCCAGCAGATTATCATGGTTTTATGATAATAAGCTCTGAGCCTCAGGTTCTCCATCTTTAAAGTGAAGTTAATAGTAGTTCCCTGGCAGGGCAGATACTGGGAAGTAAGGAATATCATCTTTGAAAAAGACTAACGAGGTGCCTGGCTTATAGTTGATGCCTTTCTCTCTCCTTTTCTTCCCCTCTGTGCTGGGCCCAAAACTGCCCAGGTGAAGCCCACCTTGGGCATGTCTCACCCGTAGAGGGGCTGATGTAGGACAGGAAGGACACAGAAGAAGTATCTCAGTGCCCCTGTGGACGCCCCCAATGGACCAGTGTCCCACTTCTCACCACCATCCCGTTCTGATCCCTGCCACCCTCCGCATGCCCCATCACCTTGACTGTATCCTTTGGTGCCTTTCTGATGTGTCTCTTCACCTCACTCAGGACACCAGCCCGGAATGAAAAGTTCGTTTAATCTCAACTGCCAACTCGGATTTGATTGGTGATGGCTGGCAGGTGCCCTCTGGAAGGATTCTGAGGGCCCCTCAGGGCTTAGCATTAGAATGCCCCAATCAGCTAGTGATGTCTTCCATGGGCCTGGCTTAGCTGGGTGTCCCTGGATCCAGTTTGAGATCACAGGATGCAAAGCTTTGCATTCTGGTAACCCAATCTCTGGGATTTTCACTAAGGGAACAGGGCCCCAGAGAAGGGAAGTGATTCCCCAAGGACTCAAGTACTCCCACTTTCCAGGCCAGAGTTCATTGATTCAGTTCAACAAACTGAGACTGGGGTATTAGGCATGCTGGCAAACAGAGCCAGTGAGAAGTTCAGTGTGATGGAGGGGGGAGGTCGTCCCAGGGAGTAAGGTCAGGATAAGGCGAGGAAGGAAATGGTCCTCCTTGGCATGTGTGTGTGCTAAGTTGCTATCATCATGACCGACTCTTTGTGACCCCATGGACTATAGCCCACCAGGCTCCTCTGTCCATGGGACTCTCCAGGCAAGAATACTGGAGTAGGTTGCCATACTCTCCTCTAGAGGATCTTCCTGACCCAGGGATTGAACTCACCTCTCTTACATCTCCTGCACTGGCAAGCGGATTCTTTACCACCAGCGCCACCTGGGAAGCCATATTTGCATGCAGTAAGCACATAATAAAGCCTGTCGAATATGGTTCAGTGAACAAACTAGAATATGGAGCAAAATGATTGGTTGGCTTCCGAGCCATCTTGGAAACTCAACAGTCATCTCCCAACGTGTAAACAGCAGGTGTCTCTGCAATGCTTGGCCCTCCTGGCCACAGCTCTCCCTCTTGGCTGCTTTGCACAAACAACACACTCTCATCATCAAAGAGGAGACTTTGCCCCCTAGGAATGGGATTTCCCCAGAGAAATGTGGTGGGGCAGGGGCCTGACGCCTCCTGAACACCACAATGTGCTGAGAGTTTTATACCTGCCGTCTCACTTAATCCTCAATGAACGAATGAATGAATGAAACTTTCTAAGATGGGATTTATTGTTCCCATTTGACAGGTTAAGAAACTGAGGTTTGGGGAGTTAGAATTCTTTACTGTCACTGTGCTGAGCAGGAGAAGAGCTGGGTCTGACCTCAGTCTGCGTCTACACCACTGCACCCCTCAGAGAAGTGGGGGACATTGTCCCCTCTTGTCTTGTCTGGCCTCTTGGATTTCCAGCCCTGTGCTTCCCACCTGGAGCATCTACTCCTCTTTGGTCCTACACAGTGGACTCCTTTTCATCATCTAACTCTCACTTCCTGACCTCTGATTGCAATTCTGTATGTCACTGGAATCCAACCCAAAATATATCTTTAAAGGATTCTCTTAACAAAGTCTTGCTACAGGAGAGGAACAATTATGTAACTAGCAAATGGGCTCTTCACGCCTGCTCTGTACATTCCCTTCCCAGGGTCCTTGGCAGGTCCTGATTAGGTAGGAGGGGAGTAAGGAGAGTTACCAGAGGACTTCTTTGGTGATCCAGAGGTTAAGAACCCTTCTTGCAATGCAAGGGACACAGGTTCGATCCCTGGTCAGGGAACTAAGACTATCACGTGGAGCCCACACACCACAACTGGAGGATCCATACACTGCAGTGAAAGATCCCACATGCCGCAGCTAAGACCCCAAACAGCCAGAAAAAAGAACAGATAAACAAATAAGAGTAGGAATAATACCTCCAAAAGGCTGTTTGTTATATGGACCACCAGGTATAGGAAAAACACTCTTGGCACGAGCTGTGGCTAGCCAGCTGGATTGCAATTTCTTAAAGGTTTTATCTAGTTCAATAGTAGACAAGTACATTGGTGAAAGTGCTCATTTGATCAGAGAAATGTTTAATTATACCAGGGACCATCAGCCATGCATCATTTTTATGGATGAAATAGATGCTATTGGAGGTTGTCGGTTTTCTGAGGGTACTTCAGCTGATAGAGAGATTTAGAGAACTTTAATGGAGCTACTGAATCAAATGGATGGATTTGATACTCTGCATAGGGTTAAAATAATCATGGCTACCAACAGACCAGATACACTGGATCCTGCTTTGCTCCGTCCAGGCAGATTAGATAGAAAAATACATATTGATTTACCAAACGAACACGCAAGGTTAGATATACTGAAAATCCATGCAGGTCCCATTACAAAGCACGGTGAAATAGATTATGAAGCAATTGTGAAGCTTTCAGATGGCTTTAATGGAGCAGACCTAAGACATGTTTGCACTGAAGCAGGTATGTTTACAATTCGTGCTGATCATGATTTTGTAGTACAGGAAGACTTCATGAAAGCAGCCAGGAAAGTGGCTGATTCTAAGAAGCTAGAGTCTAAATTGCACTACAAACCTGTGTAATTTACTGTAAGGTTTTTGATGGCTGCATGACATCTCTTGGCTTAATTTTTAAAAAGTTAAGGAAAATAATGTATGTATTGGCAATGATCTCATTAATAGCATATGAATAAAAATGTGTACGAATAACATTGTAAAAATTAGTACTTCAGTAATTCTGCTTTTAAGAAGTACAGAGGAAATTTGTATGTTTGTTAGTGTTGCATTTATTGCAGCAGAAGTCAGAAGAGTATGTTGAAGCTTTTTGTATTTGCTGTATGAGTATTTTGTAAAACCTTGAAAATGGTTTGAGATAGTAGTACCAGGGAGCATTTCTTATGATTTATTTTATATCACTTGTTTTCCTCATCCTAAAAAGTTTAATAAAATCTGTTTAATTAAAAAAAAATAACAAATAAGGGAGTTACCATGGTGAACGCAGTGCCCGCTCACCTCTGCCCGCATGCCAGATCTGAGCTCTTCTGTCCAATATCACCACCTTGTATCGTGTTCCTGTCTTTGTTTCATGGAACCACAGTTCTCCTTGCTTTTCCTCAATCACCAGGCACTCCATCTTTGCATTTGCTGTTCCCTCTTTCAGGAACTCCCTTCCCGCCACCTAGCTGTATAAATAAAGCTTTACTGGGACACAGCCATGCCCTGACCCATTGACGTGTTATCTATGCTGCTCTGGGGCAAGAGTGGCTGCAACAGACAGACACCAGAGGGCGTACAAAGCCAAAAGTATTTACCATCTGGTCCTTTGTAGAAAACTTTGCCAACCCCTGCCGTGGCTCTTTGCAGGGTCCACCCTTTCACCCTCTTTATGTCTTCATGTCTTTATCCCCCCTATCCCCCTGCTGCGTTCTCTGCTTTATTCTCCTCTGCTTTATTCTTCCCCATCACACTCGCCTCCACAAAGCCCTGTGGATATTTGCTCACCTGCTTTACTCCCTAATGCCACTAGAGGTCAGTCACACGGAAGGCAGGAACTTGGACTGCTGCTCACTCGATTGTCCCAGTGCCTAGAACAGTAGCTCAAGAAGTAAGTTAATGAATGAATGTTTCCCACACTCCGGGACACTGGTCTGGCCCATACCTCTGGGCCTCTGACTCAGTTTCCTTTGTCAGGTCTCTCCCCAGGGAGGATGAGTCCTGTTGTGAACGGATGCAGTCCCCAGGGATGCTCAGCCTGGGTTCCGGCAAGCCCTGTATCACTTCCATGTCATGAAGTTCTCATCATATTAAAAAAAATTTTAACACCTTCTAACCTGGAGGGAGGTGCAGAAATGGTGATGTTTTAAATGTTTACATGTGACAGAATAATACTCTCCTAACACAGAAAAGCTTTGCAATATAATGGTGAAACTTACAAGATAGTTACAGAGTTTATTTTTGCTTTTAATTCAGTTCAGTTAAAATATTAATATCTATTACAACAAGGTAAATAATTAATTTTGAAATAGTTAAAATGAAGGTTAACTTAGATATTAATGAACAGTGCCTGGCAGGACACAAGTGAATGTTGTTAGAGAGTCATTCTTTCCTTCTTTCCTCAACCCTATGAAATGGCCATCTCATTGGAGGGAATGTCCAAAGCCTGGAACAGAAAAAAAAATCCAAAACCTCAATGCTGGAGCACTTCTAACTCCCCCTGAGACACCCGGAGCAGTGCAGGAGGGTCTCTGTCCTGCCATCAGCTTCCCCTCCACTCCCGCCCAGCCTGCCCCCCTGGGTCCCTGTGAGTTCCTATCAGATGCCCCCTGTCGGAGCTTCCCTTGAGACCAATAAGCCCTGGTCAGAGCGCTACATCCATCTATAAGGAGACACGCGGGGGCTTAGGTTCACTCCCCAAGGCCTCCACTACCGCGGGGCGGGGATAAGAGCTGAGAGCCCTGGCACAGCTGGATCTTCTCCTGGGTTAAGCTGTTGGCCCAGAGAACATCGTTTTTTGATGGCTGGTTGAGTGGTGGTCATAACTTCTTTTGCAAAGACGGTGCATTTTTGGTTTTGGTTTTGTTTTGTTTGGGTTTTTCTTTTTCTTTTTTTTTTTTTGGTCATGCTGTGCAGCTTGTGGGATTTCAGTTCCTTGACCAGGGACTGAACCTGAGCCATGGCAGTGAAAACCCAGAATCCTGACCACTAGGCCACCAGGGAACTCCCATAGATGGTGCTTTATTTTTTTGGCCACACCATGTGGATCTTAGTTCCCTGACCAGAGACTGAACCCAGGCCCTCTGCATAGGGATGGTGGAGTCTTAACCACTGTGCCACCAGGGAAGTCCTGACAGTGCATTTTGTATATGAGCTTACTTAGGGCTTCCCAGGCGGCGCTAGTGGTAAAGAACTGCCAATGTAGGAGACATAAGAGACGTGAGTTCGATCCCTGGGTTGGGAAGATCCCCTGGAGGAGGAAGTGGCAACCCACTCCAGTATTCTTGCCTGGAGAATCCCTTGGACAGAGGAGCAGGCTATGGTCCATAGGGTCACAAAGAGTCGGACACGACTGGAGGAACTTAGCACTAGCACTGTGGCCTGAAAGCCTGGCCAACTGGTTCTTCACTTCCTGTCTTTGCTGCCTGCCAGGACCCTAAGGGCCCCTGCGAATCTCTTTCTCTCCAGCAGACGCCTTGAACCTCAGGTCAGAGATAGGGACCTCGGAGGCCATGAGAGTTGTGGGGGGAGGGGTGCCCAATTCTTCCACTTACCAGCTGGGTGACTAAAGACGAGCCACTCAACCAATCTGAGCCTCAGTTTTTCCTCTGTTGCCTACCAGCCATGCCCTTGGAGGATACCAGATAACACAGGCACATGCTTAGCCCACGGCTGGCCGGTGGTCAGCATTTCCCATTCATTATCAGTCCAGCTCAATTCAGTCGCTCAGTCGTGTCTGAATCTTTGCGACCCCATGGACTGCAGCATGCCTGGACAGGCTTCCCTGTCCATCACCAACTCCTGCATCTTGCTCGAACTCATGTCCATCGAGTCGGTGATGCCATCCAACCATCTCATCCTCTGCCATCCCCTTTCATTTTGTTTCATCTGACCTTATCAATCAGGTGAGGAAACAAGCTGAGAGGTGGAACGGCTTGTCCAAAGCACCCTGGTGAACTAGTGGCATGGCAAAGTCAAGCTTCCTGTCTCCGAAAGCAGTGCTCCCACCCTCCTTTTGAACCTTTTTTTTTTCTGCACGGTTGGTTGGCTATGAGAGGGAAATGCGGGATTCTTCTGTGGGTGTTCAGCTTTGGCCTCAAGTGACCACAAGTGGGCGCCCTCTGAATTGTTCAGAGTCTCCTGGGTTCCAGGGGAGGGAGACTTTAGGTCCTTCTGCTCCAAAGTTCATGGTCTCCCAGGCCTGCAGCCCGCGCTCCCACCGCATCAGGCTTCTGAAGGGAGCCCTCCACGACCCACCCCATCCAGCACCTTCCAGAGCCCCCACCTCCCACCTCCCACCTCCCACCCCAGGAAGATCTAGTCTCCATTTCCGAATAGATCTGGGATCCTTGGAAGCCCCTCCTTGTTTCTGTTGAGGAGGGGGTTCGGGATCACAGTGATGTTTGTTCGTTGCTTCCACCCACACCCCCAAACCTCTACCCACTGACATCTGCTCAGCACTTGCTGATGGGAGGGCGAGGCCAGGCCTGGGAGATGGAGCAGGGCCCAAGGGAGTCACCTGCCTCTCGGAGGGGACGTTCCAGGAGGGGAGGGGGACTTAGTTACAACACTGATGACAGGATGTACTTCAGTGCGTTACTGGGGGCTGAGGGTGGGACCCCAGGGCAGCCTCTGGAGGCCGGTTCTCCTGATTTGAATTCTCAAAGAAGCAAAAGAGTCAGCCAAGGAAAGTAAGCCCCTGGTTCAAAGAAGCCACAGGGGGAGACCCATGCCTTTTGGTGAGGATCCCCACTCTGGACACTTCTCCCCATCTGTAAGTGGGAATAACAATTCATGCCTACTCTGCCTGCTCTTAGAATGAAAGAGGATACAATGACTAACAGTGGAAGCAGGTTGGAAATGCTAAAAAAAAAACAAACAACCCACACCAACATTGGTGTTAAACAATATACAGCAGCACCAGTGTTGTCTTTCACAAAGCTCTACCCAGTAAGCCTCCAGTTCATGGTCTCCAGCATGCACCCTCCCTTCCGTGACCTGCTTGCCGATGCATTTCCTGGGTCCCTAATGACAGTCCCTGTGGGGCTCCTGCTGCTGACCCCATCAGGGCCGCCCTCCCCCTTTCCTTCCTCGGCTTTCCCCTGAGTCATTTTAAGTTTCTCGTATAAGGCCTATTAGAATAAAAGCAGGAAGAAAGACAAGCCAGGCTCCCTGGAGACCATCCTGCAGCTCTTAGAAAATTAAAGTCTATGGAAATGATCCCAGGTGGCTATGGGCACCGTGCCCCCTGCACCCTGAGGCTGCCGGCCAGGAGGACCCGACTCTGGGGTGAAGAGCACTGTTTGAATGTTGGCATTGCCCCATCACCCCTTTTCCATCATTTTAGACTCACAGATGACAAGCTAGCTTCCATTTTTCCGAAGAGTCCTTCTGGTCTGGGGCGGGGTGGAGTGAGAAGTGAGCCCTGGGACACCGTAACCACACCCTCGTTGGGTTCAGGGACCACTTTCAACAACCCAAAAAGCACGCTTAGGTTCCAAAGCCTGTGGTTCATTTTGTTTTGCGTTCTCTCCTTGCCTGGCCGTGCATCACCAAGTATGCTATTCTCCACTTCACCCAAAGGCATCCTCCTCCTGGAGGGCAGGATGGAGCCATCTGAGATCTCACCCAGAGAAGTGGGGAAGCGTTATCAGAGACCAAGCGCCCTCTCTGGGGGCTCTGATTGGCCCAGGAGCCCCCACCTCTGCCCCAGGGTGGGGGGTCTGCTGAGGGTCCTGGGCTCTGGGTCCCGGATCAAAGGCACAGCAGGCTTTGGGGAGGGCCTTTCTCTCCCTGGTCAAGGGGGAGTGGGACCACCACCCACTACTATGAGGGGCTGGAGGCTCGTATACCTATTAGGCACCCTTTCC